TAGATAGCCGTTTTGTTTAGGGCTAGGTTTTGCGAGAGCAATAAGCGGTCATTTTCTCGGGTCAAAATTTGGTGACCTGTCTATTTTTTTTCTTGTTTTCAACAAAGCATGAAATACATTTCTCTGCAAAACAGATTTATACTACTTAAAAGAGCAGAGCAAGAAACTAATCATAGACATGAATTATAAAGTCAACAAAAAACTGTTAGAATCATTGTAAATTTATCAAAGAGCTTTATCAAGTTTAAGGTTTTTTACTGCCTAGACAATTAACAAATATATTACGTCCATTTTGAAATCATCGGTGATCCTTATAATATGGTTGGCTCCCGTTGGTTAGATTTATTAACAAATCGCACCATTCTTTGCTCTTAATTGTATCTTTTTCCCGGTTAAACGCTTTCAACCGACCGACGAGACCACACCATGACTGGAATAAATACAGCTGAACTGTATTTTCAAATCACGTGCCAAGGCTTTTTTGGAAGCTGTGGGGACTTTCAAAACCACATTGGAGTAAACGACAGTCGTAGTTGTATGCCTGCGTGTAGTTTTACACCCAGCCAGCGGCGTTGTTAGACTGTAATAAGTGTTGTCTCCTTCAGCTTTGCATTTCGTGTCCAGAAGTCGGAGATGCTCAACGTTGATACCAGGAAGGAAGAACTTAGGAAAGAGAATTGTCATGTCAGTGTTAGTGTTAGCCGACAAGCACGGCTTCATGTTGTGTTCACAAAAATATAGTGTCTTCATTTACTGTGAATTTGTATTCTCTCACTCTTAATGCCCAATATTTTTGTTTAATATAATTAAATTAATTTAATATAATTTAGCTCTAAAAACAGTGCTAACTTGATTTTTAGGTGAGCTCTGCCCTGGTGCTTTATAATAAACAAAGGTAACTCCATCCTCGCTGTACTGAAGCTCGTATAAAGTTACCCACTGAGGGTGAGCATTTCGTCCTTGTGTCGCTATCCCTGTCACAATACTGTATCTACCAAGATCCACCTGAAGCCACTGATTTACAAGATTTCCGTATGCTGACCATGCTCCTGTTTTGCCTCTACCGGCCTTGAAGTTCAACCTTCCCTGGACCGCGGCATGGTTCTCGTCATTTTCTGAAGAGGCAGTGATCTGAGCGTCTCTTATCTGTCCGTTCTCCATACCCGTTGGTGCTTTACACAAGAAAAAGAGAAATACTGGCTGGGCAAGATGAAGCAACCAATATAGTTCAAGTGTGTCAAAAACAAAACTCAAAAACCGTGTCCTCCAGTGAAACAATAAAGATCTGGGTAACTTCGATAAACTTTGATTTAACCAGCCTTTTCGTTTTGTATTAAAATCAAATTTTTCGAATGAATCTATTTCGTTGTAAACCGTCCTTCTTTGAAATTAAAAAATACCCTGCCTGACGAAAGTCTCTCGACTTTGACGTGACTTTTTATCGTAATCATCTTACATCAGGGTTGCTAGTTGTCATGCTCAGGAAGCAAGTTTTGCAGAGTTGTTTGAAGTTCTCTTGAGTCCTTCGCGATCATCGCAGTTCTCTTTGATCTCTTGCATTTATTTTCTTTTCACAATCGGCTTTTAAGACAAAAAAGCGCATAAAAAGAAGACTGTGGGCAAAAGAAACTTGGCGGATTTACTGACTCCTTTTCTGTGTGACACTCACCTCGCTGTTTGCACTTATCATAGTTCTCTTTATAATCGGTTTCTTAACGCGTCCTTGATTTGGACTTAAAATTGACTTGTTGCTTTTGCTGCAGATGTTTCTGATTTATCATTTTGATTTATTTATTCCATTCCATTTCCATACTTAAATCCTGCCTCCTAACCTATTCGTTGTTTACATCCCGACCCAAGTTCCTGTTTTTTGTTTTTGATTCCCAACTGCCCAAAAGTATCATACGGAAAACTGGTCCAAATCTGATAACATTATATTTTACTGTTACCAAAGCAACATCTTGAAATGCACTATCGCTTTTCACGAGGAGTCAGCTCAGCTACTGATTGTAACTGATCTGGCAGTGATGTTTACTTCCAGCCTCAAGGATTCCAGAGAAAAAAAAAGAATTGTAGCACGGAGTACCAGTGAGATCTTGATTGCCTGTTAGCATATGTCTGTCCTTACGAGGAAACCGATCAACTTTCGCTAAATCTCATCGTGGTTCTTTCAGCTCGTTTCCGTTCCGATGTCAGTGTTAACACTTCAATTTTGCTTTGTCTGACCCGAAACAAATATGGTACAAAGTTTAACTTTTTAGGTTTTTTTTCTCATTTTTTGAATGTTTCATGTTTATAAGAACTTACAGAGCTTTGACATGAAATGAGTCAAAAGTTTCTTCACAATTCTCGTGTACACGTCGAAGTCTTAAGTTTATCTTTCTTCTGTTGTGGATAGGAATGTCTAGAGGATAACCCCAAGCAGTGTGCATGAGTTTCGTGCTTGTTTCTATTTTTATAACTCATATTTTTCATTTAATCTCATACTTAATTTAGTAGAGGATAAGTTACAGAATGGTTGAGACTTAAGCATGTTCAGAGGGATCAATACTGGTTTCGACATCATGGCCTCCACCGACACAAAGATTTGTTAAGGAAGGAGACAAATCTTTTCAAGGTGCCGCTGGATGGACAGAAGCTCTGATTTATTTGCTGCATTGCGATCCAATTGACCTCGCATAACATATATAAGAGAATAAATTGATACTTATAGAAATGAATAAATGTATGAATAAATGAAATCGAATTTCAAAAACCAGGCCAGCAAAAACATTCCAGCTATCCGATTTGGTGAAAATGTCAATTGGGTGGCATTTCAAAAAGATGTATCGTTATTATCTGCCTTCCAAAGCTCTACCCGTTACAATTTTGAGTCATTCAAATTGCTCGATATTGTAAAGAATTGAACCGCTAGATCACTACCTCCCACCGCCTATTTAACTGGACTGGAGAGTTAGACGTGGAAATAATTCAATTTCTTTTAGCCGCTATATATTGAGTTTCTGCATGATGAATGAGGTTTAGAGCTGTTTATTTTCCCTCTGACTATTTATAGCTTCTGATGGACTTTCATCATTCTTGCACACGCTCAAAAGATCTTACTGATTATGCCTTGCTTTTTGACTGTTTTACCTCTCGAGAAGTTTAATATTCGTTGGTAATATTTCTTTTGCTTAGGGTTAGGATTTGGTTTTGTTTTCAGAGACATCTTCCTTGATCGCAAGGGTCACACGGCACAGTTTTTGAGCCACGTTAAAAGAGGAGATTAGAGCAAATATGAGAGTAAATTACAGTTGTGCGTCTATGGTACGGTGATGAGAAATTTGATTACTAATTGCCCTTACGGTTTATCCAATTTTACACAACTCGACAAAAGCCACGAATCATTCCGTTAATTTCTGAAATACCAGCGCCAAAAACAAACATGAAAGGTGTTTTGATTGGTAGCTCAATAAATTATTACTTTGAGTCTAAGGCGACTAGAAATGGGTAAAATCGTTTTTTCATTACTTAGGGTTTATTATTGCAATACAAAATTAAACCGCTTCAGTCCAACGCCATTCATGATATGGCATAGAAACAAGACATTAACCAAAGCAGTTGACCTCTTAATCTTAAATCTATCCCTGTGGCGAAAAAAAAAACCTTAAATACATTACAAATAACGTAATCAGTCGAAAAGATATTTTTGTCAGTAATGTTTTCGAATCCCCACCTGTTTAAAATATCTTCACTATGCATGTTGCTGTTTCTCTGAATTTATTTCGACACAAAAAAGCCACATAGGCTGAACTGAAAATGATTGGTTGCTGCATTGTAACTTGCTGACTTCAAAATCAAAGGACTATTTTTTCAGCTCTGCTCAAGACTGCAGCGTCACGCAAGGTGTGATTTCAGATCTAAGAAAATTGGTCGAGGACTATGGATTGCGGAACAAAGGAGTGCGATAGAATTGGAAATATATTAACTGACAAAATATTTCATTTATGAAACACAGTAAACATGTTAAAGTACCTGCCTCCCCCCTCCCTTGTAAGAAAGGAAAATGTTCATTACCAAATGAGGTACCTGGAAAACAATTCAATGCAACGACTGTATTGTTCGAATATCTCATTGCGAAAGTTGAATATGCCTTTTTCAGATGATTATTTTCAGTTTTTTTTTATCTTGGGGACAAGTAGGATTCATGCAGTTGAGAATCAATTTCGAAGGAGCCTAAGTGCTCTTCGAATAACTCATCGTATGGAACGGTTTCGAGTAGACACAAGAAATAACAAAATATAAATAAATAAATAAATAAATGACTTCCAACCAAAAAATACAAGCTCATTGAGTCAAGGATAATAAATATAATAGCTGGATAGAAGCAAGTAAACAGCCAAGAAAACAAAACATGAACCATGCACAACGAGCGAACAGAAACCGAAACAGAAATGATGAGATTCCGATAAACCCTCACCAATGCTTCTTCATCGGATCAGTTTTTTAGAACAGCTCGGTTTATAACTTAGTTAAATAAGGAATATATATAAAAATATATATAAATAAGGATACTTTGTTCAATCAGTAGAACGTAAGAGTTATAGCAATTTCAAACATCAAGCCAGGTTAAAGCATATTTGTCTAATTTTGGCGGAAAAAATCTCCCATAAAAATGGGACATGGAAAGTATCTTTTCTCTTTTTTTCTGCAACCTTGCCTTTTCTTATTCAACATCATGGACTTCCTTTCCCATTGTTTGTTTGTTCGCTTCTTTCTCTTTAAGTTCCATATCATTTTATAACTCTTCAATCCCCACTCCCAACTCCTCACTCTACAATCACAAACGTAGCCTCTTTTGCAACAGATCTGCAATACCGGCATACAGTATTAACTAAACTGCGGTGTTGAGCAAAGTTTCGAGTGACATGACGTACCGGCTGTACCGCAGATTATCACAACTGCCAACTGTTTTGCTGACGGCTGAAGAATTCGATCATTCTCAAGTTACACTCACTTGCCTTAGTGAAGGAACTTCAATCGAATCTTGTTCAAAACGTATTTCTCCTCTAATTTTTTCTTAATCATGTCGGGAATCATAACAACAGTTTGTAAAGCGACTTTTAATCCCGTGATCGCAACAGCAGTTTTTGGTGAAACCGTTGGATGGCTTGTGAATGCAGGCAGAGATAAAGCTGCCGAAAAGCTTCAAAATGGCGATGTTGCAGATGAAGAATTTCGTCGCATCATTATGAGTGAAATCTACGAAATGAAGCTCAAGCTAGACGGGGAATCAAAGAAAGATTTGTCAGCAAGTATCAGCCACTTTGAAGAAGGAATCGAGTTGTTGTATGAAGTACTTAAAGAAATCAGGCCAAGAAGGGATACTGGCGCTGATGCAGCACAAGCGGCTTGTGCGGAAGCTGTGTCGCTCACTGAAGGAATGCGAAACTTGGAGCTTACTGAATCTACCACAAGAAAGCTTGCCAATGCAAAGGATAGATTCAAAATTGCTCGTGAAAAAGCAACCGATGCCTTTTCAAATGAAGCGCTATCAACGTTCGACCGCATCTTAGCGATGCAGTACCGAGTGATAGCAACGGTATTAGAGACAGTAGACTACCCCGCGGATGCTCTAACATCATGTAAACGCTGTATTGACGAGCTAAATGGTCTGCCAGTGGTTCAGCAAAGTCTTAAAGTACAACTCAAGACAGGAATCAGTAATGTAAAGGGTTGGTTTAGCCAAAAAGAACGACAGAAACTCATTTCCGGTGTTTGTCTTGTCAATCGTGTGGCCTACGATGTCACACGAACAATATCCGTTAAAGAACCATTGCCGCAGTGGCCTATGGTTGATACAGGACAGGAGAAAGTTGATTTGCTGCGAGACGAAAGAGTTACAAGAGCACTATGTAAACAGGGCATGGAGCACTGTAGTGTATCATGGATACTTGGTCAGGATGGTGTAAAGGTGGACAGTATAAATGATCCATGCAATATCGCTACCGACTCAAGCGGGCAATATATTGTGGCAGACAGTGACTTGATAATAAAGGTGTTTGACAACAATGGCAAGTTTGTGAAATCTTTTAGACTTCCTCCTCTTATCGATGACAATGGTACAGAACTATCGATTGATAGCTGGCCGGTTCATCTGGCCACAGACATGAACGACGACATTTATGCCCTGGTTAAAGAAAAGAATCGTAAAGACTCACACTGGATTTTTAAGTTTAACAAAACCGTTGAGAAGCATCTAAGGTTTCGTGTCAGGGAAATGGGCTTCGACTTCTACCTGTGTAAACTGTCAGTCAGTGATAGTGGTAAAGTGCTGGTACTGAAGGGTGACTGGAGAAAGGAATATTACATTGTGGATGTTTATGAGACCGATGGTCGCTTCGTTTGCAGTTTTGGAGAACAAATCTTGAGGAGCCCGAGGGACATCACTGTTACTGCAAGTGATGGCAGAGTTATGGTGGTGGAGCTATTTCCTTCCCGCTGTGTTCACATATTCAGCGAAAACGGTGACCATCTGAGCAAGTTTGATCTCCAAGATTCTTTACACCATCCAAATATTGCCTTTCACAAGGAAAGTCAACAAGTCATCATGGCCAGTACTGATTCTACGGAAAACCTCCTGCATGTAGGAATTTACACCAAGGATGGTAAGTTTTTACGGAGCACTCTTATCCACAAGGAGATCTTCGGGCTGCATGGGATTGCAGTGACCACTGAGGGACGTATTGCGGCAGTAGCTAAGTTTAAAGATAACACAGGCAAAGTAATCATTATTTAAAAGAAGCACTTATTTTTCTGTCTCTCTGTCAAGTTCGTTTACAGACTCGATTCAGCTACATATGCTCATAGGGCTTTTAAAAACTCTTCTTTCATGAGGAATGTACAAGCAAGTGAATTAGCTGACTTCTGAGTTTTTCAGGATTGTTAATTATCCAGGATAAATTGGTGCTTTGCTTCTCTAATCAGAAAATTAAACACATAATTGATACCATCCCTTATTTTTCCACAAGGTGTGAAGCAATCGTATGCTCAAGTTTCATTCGCAAGATGTAGGCGTTTTTAGCCTCAATCTTTACTTTGTAATACACTGGAAAGTCATTGAACAGATGATATCCATTTCCCTTCGTAGACAAATGTTTCGTTATTGATTACGTAGGAAGCTAATTGATGGCTGTAGGTCAGCTGATGATATGATGCATATTTGAAAACCAGCCTTGTGGTTCTTAATCCTTCATTTGTTTACATATGATAGTTTATTCTCCATTACAACCGTGAAACATTTCCTTGTAATACGAGGAAACATACTTGCTATATCCAAGATTACACCAGCAAAAAGCTAAAATATTTACTTATTCTAATGACCTGTTTGCTGGCTAATGTATAGATAGTGTTAGGAAAAGTTGAATGTGGTTCTTTTCTGCGAGTGAAAGGGTTCTAGAATATGAAAGGGCAATTTACTTTATGGATATATTTGAAATTTAATAATTGAATCAGGGATTTCCTGCACCTTCCATGATTTGAGCATTGACCTTAATCTGTCTCTTAGATATAATTCACAGACATTTACAGCGAAGACATTAGTGTGCATACAGTATCTATTAGATTTACTCTAGTCTCGATTTTTTCCTCAAGTGGTTCAGCATCCTGGCTTTTTTATTTCTTTAATTTTTTCTAGGCTTTTATTTATAAACTGATTACATTGAATGTTTCAGTTAGTTCATATTTCCCAATCGACAATTTTATAACATGTATAAAAAATTTCCGATGTATCTGTGTGACATTGTGACAAATTAAGTAATCGAAATAGAAAAATGCTAAGTTTATTTCCAATTGAATTAATGCCATGTACCATATATAGCAACTGCTGCATGCAATAAGCTTTTTTAGAAAAATGAGGAAAATAATGAGTATGTAATTAAAATTACTTAAGTGATAATCTGATTTACAAATCTACAGGAATGTTCATCTTGCTATCATATTTTAATTGGATCATGTTCCCTTTTGTATTGGAAAACATTGCTGATACTCTAGGGTTTTTTGTAGAAAAGATTGCAATAAAGCTCAAGGAAAGGCAATGTTTTAAATTCATTGCGCCGGAAAGATAAACGAGAAGAGAGTGGAAATAACTTGGCCTATCTATACCTTGCAAGAGTCTTTCGTCACGCAGTAGATCAACCTCGTGATTACGTGACCTGACTGTTTTGTTCATTTGATCGTCCCAGTTGTTTTCTAAATATATCCACTCCTGGTACTTTCTTGAAGCCCTCACACATTGCGAGAGACGGGATATAATTAAATTAAATTGAACTTGGAAAAGGCTATGAAATTAAAGGTAACCCTTTGGTTTAATGAACCTTTTCATTTTCTTGTTATCAAAACTGTAAGTTGAACGTTAGCGTTAACGTTAGTCTTAAAAATGTCGGTCATTTCAAAGGATTATCACTTCGTGACCCAGACAGGCTTGGAAGGAAATCACCTCAAGATTATTTATTTTTTGACAGATTAATTCGTGATACTAAAGACACAGAAATTAAACCTTGGCGATTGAAAATTAGTGAACTGAATGAAGACTGAATAATGTAGCAAGTTATCTAAGAGTTTATGACAAAAACCACAATTTCCTCATTCCTCCGCGTTGACATCTTTGGTGGAGGCTTAGTCTAACGAGAAATACATGCAGGAACTTAATTATGAGTTACTCCCTCACCATTTCTTGTCATCTCTAATTTATAATAAAGACAAATCTTTCATTATCCGTTTAAAACAATTCTGAGTTGATAAACGCCACGAAAGACAAGAATGAATTATTATTGAATGGTCCTTGTGATTTTTTTGTGACGTTTATCAGTTTGAGTTCATCTTGTGAGTCACGGCACATTTATTCATTGTCATCATGTGAGTATTCACATGTTTTGAGTTTCCAATCAATGATCAGGTTTAAAGCTGTTTGTTTCTTTTGTGACTATTTATAGCTACTGATGGACTGTTATTATTCTTAGACATGCTTAAAAGCTGGTACTGATTTTGACCTGCCTCTTTGACTGTTTCGCTCCATTTATTTTGCTTCCTGAGAAATTTTTTAATTCGTTGGTTCGTTCTCCTTGCAGCTGATAATGTTCGAGTAGTATTCAAAGACAACTTCTTTGACCTCAAGGGTCACACGGCCCATTTTTTTAGGCCAAGTAGAAAGAGGAGACTTGAGTGAATATGAAAATGAATTAAACTTTTAGATCTATGGAGCTTCAGTACACCTCTTAACAAAGTCAAGAGCTGCACAATGGACATAACAATAAGTTCTCCCCGGCAGTTTTGCCAAGTTTACCTAACTCAAACAAAGCCACCAGTCATTCCGTTAATTTCTGAAATACCAACACGTATAGCAAATGTAAGAGTAGTGTGAAGATTGGTGATAAGTTGAAAGAGTAACTCAGTAAATTTATTCCTCGAATCTACAGAGACTTAGTAGAGGTAAGAGGCGAGAGGTGATTATGACTTGGGCTTTATACAATGGAGATCCACCTCTGTCGGGGGCCAGTTTCAGTCGCAACGTAATTCATCATATAAAGCAGAGACAAAACATGTCACCTAAAGCAGTTGACCTCTTAATCGTTATCCAATCCCCGAGGTGAAAAATACTTTTAAAACATTTTTAACCTAACATAATTATTCTGATTACTTCCTTCATTGTCGGTAATGTTCTTCAATCCCTGCCGATGTTTGTATCTTCGCTTTTTCCTTGTTGAGGTTTATGTTAATTGCTTCCGAATCTGAAACAGCTGCCTAAGCTGCAAACGGAAGGGATCATGCAATGTAACTTTCCAACTTTAAAATAAAACGACCATTATTTCAGTTTTGAGGTCAAAAGTAGAACATCGCGTGGGGCGGAACTGCAGATCGAGAAAAATTGGTCGACGACAGTGAATTGCGGATTGATAAAGTACGTTAAAATTGGAAATATACATTGAAGCATTTAGACATTTATAGGCTATGAAACATTTGAGTCACGTTATGGTGCTCCTTCCTCCTTCCTGCAAGAAAGAATAGCGTTCATAACCAAATGAGAGACTAAAACATGATTAGATGCACTTAAGAACATATGCCTCGAAGAACTCATTTTGAAAGATGACTATTTTTTTAAGTGTTGGGCAC